CCCCAAAACCCCAAAACCCCAAAACCCCTCAAATTTCTTGTCATATAGAAAGCTAATAAAATAAATCGTAATTACAACAATACCAATTTTATTGCATGGTTTATATTTCTAAAAATTTCACATTTTATGTAACTTAAAATATTCCTAAAACTAAAACAAAATTCAAAAACAAATACCATAACCTCCCTCCTAAAACTACAAAATTTCATCCCAAAAACTTGCCCAAACCAAAACTTCCTCCAATCTCTCCAATCCATGGACCCCTCCAACTTCCAAAATCCCTTTGAATCCAGTCCCCAACTTAAACCTCTACACACTCAATTCTACATCTCCAAGCCCATATTTCTTCACAATCTCTGCTACAAATTGTGAGCCAAGGAAGCTCACTTGTATCACCAGCTTGGTTAAAGACTTAAGCAAGCATTTTCACTGGGATAAGCCGTTTATTAAGTTGTCGAGCTGCTGTGGATTATTTGCCCAATTGCCTAGTCTTGGAGCTCCTCAGCCGCTAAATTCTAGCTCCTTTATATTGCATGTTGGAAGTGCTTTTGTTAAGTCAGGAACAACTTTGAGGTATATTATACAGTCAAAGAATTTCAACTCTGATTTATCTCTTCACAAACTAAATATTCTTACAAAGTTTCTGTAGCTTATTTGGAACCTATCCATTATGACTGCATTGAGAACTCCTGGAAAGATTTGGTCTATTTCTTTTGGAATTTCAAAAAGTCTTATAGGATTGACGCCTCTATTGCTTAACAAAACACTATCAACCTTGCTGGTAAATTCTTTCTCCATAATTTTTTTAATCCAAGATTCATCATAAGTCATTTTTGCTATGTGATAGTCGGCCGAATCTGGTATCTTTAGCTTATTGATATTTTTAATAAAATTTAGATGAAGTTTGTCTCCTCCCAATAATGGAATTCTATCAGAATTTTCAAAGAAATTAGCGACGTTGTGGATCCTTTCATATGCTGAGCTTTTCAGGCGTTTTCCCATCTCTTTAAGGGAATTATTCAATCTAGTCTCATTCTTCCTTAGATTTTCCATCATAAAATCAGGATATATTATTTTCGAATTATCTCTCCACCCGTTCTTCCCCTGCTTCTTCATTTCTTCCCTTCCCACTACAGCATTCTCCTTCTTCTGTAACTCTCTGGTCTCTTGGCAGTGCAAGCTCGTACTTTCCATAGTGAATTTATTAAAGTTTAGGGAATTGTAGGGGTTTTGGGGTTTTGGGGTTTTGGGG